GGGGGGGAGGTGACTTCAGGTTTGAAAAACAGAGCAGAGCAAAGGGCATTGGCTGATGGAGCTCTCTATTCTCTGTGGTTCCAGCCTACTTGGGAAGTTGAGTCAGGAGGGTCGCCAAGCCTCAGGGCTGGAGGCCAGGTTGGAAGCACTATCATCAGCTGATCCCCACACCAGCAACTTGGTAGGTAAGAACTTCAAACTCCATTTCTTTGGTGAACATTTTCCCCATGTATTTAAACGTTTCTTTCCACTTTGGTGAGTTGTCTAGTTTACCTCTTTGCCTGTCAAAAGCTTGGTGTCTGTGCCTTGGAAAAAGACTATACCTGTGAGACACAGTCATCTTTCATCTGTTTTTATTTACTGTAGTATTTGCCTGGAACTCACCTTTTAGTACTTGGCTGATTTGATACACAGTAGTTCCCAGATTTCTTTTTCTACGGGGCTCTGTCTGATATTTCTCGCCTGACTCCCTTCCTGCTGTCTTTCAGACAGACCCTCGGACATGCCTCAGGACATGCTACTACCCAAGCTCTATATTGATTGTTGTTGTTTTGTTGGTCGTGGGGCTTGAACTCTGGGCCTGGGCACTGTCGCTCAGCTCTTCAGCTCAAGGCTAGCGCTCTACCACTTGAGCCACAGCGCCACTTCCAAATATATATTGAGTTTATTCATTCATTGTATCTTTAGTTGTGCAAAAGGGTTTCAACTCAACATGTCAGTTTCTGAGTACAAACATCTTGACCGATGCCACTTCCAGGCTTCTCCCTCATCTCTCCCAACCCCACCCAATCCTTCAAGTTACCTGGTTCAAGTTTTTGTTTTGTTTTGTTTTCACAAATGCAGAGTGGATTTGTTCTGTCTTCCTGTAACCACAGGTCCACAATGATGGAACCCAATGGCCAAGGACGGACACTTTGAAATTGTGGGGGGAAAGACAGCCCCAAATCAATGTGTGTTGTGTTACCACAGCGCCACCTAATGGTCAGTGTGAGGAGTCACATGAGCCTTGCATCTGCAGGGCTGGGGACTACAGGTCCTGTAGATGCTAATAGTGGTTCTGTGTGAACAAAGAACTGGTCTGCAGGGGATCTGCCCAGCCTCAGCAGATGTGCTCCACACGGAAGACCTAAGCTTATCCCTACATCCTCGCCAACAGGCAGGTGTTGAAGTCCTAAAAAGCCAATGCCTCCGGTCCACATTTGACATGAGAGCTGAGGGAGAAGACCCTTTCTGCAGATGGTTAGGAAAAGCCTGCCTTGAGTGGAACCACAGATTTCTTCTATTGTGAAGCAGATTAGTGATGATGCTACAGAAATGTATGGTGTGGTTTGGGAAATCATGGACGGTCAGGGCTGGATGTGAGATCGCATAGTTATACTCATCTCCCCGCCACGGGGCACCTGGGTATCTGGAACTGTCCCCAAGTGCAAAATGCAAAGAATAAAACTCAATGCAAGCCTGTCTGGCACTATACACAGGACAGGTTCGACGTGTCTGCCTCACCCCCATTCCTCCAAACACTGGACATTCCTGAGCACCGGGGCACGGCTGGCCAGCGAGGATCCCGGCGCGCCCAGCTTGAAGGTCTTCAGTGGTTTTGTCTTCTCTGTCTCCCTTGATTTTCCTTCAGGGCCAGTCCTGGATCCAACAAATGCCCGACAGTGTCATGACCCAATGACGCCAGCTGGGCCAGCTGCAACCTGGGACCCAGGTGTTTTCTCTGTGGATCAGTGATGACACACGTGTCCCACAGCTGCCTGCCTCGCTGCTTTTGCAACCCTTGACGGGGTAACAACACTGTTGGGGGACACAACCCCCAGAAGGGGCCCCAAAACAGCCGCACCCAGGCCCCAGCACCCCACTCAGTAAGACCATGCCACACGCCACTGGCTCACCCCTGAGCTGGCTGCTACCCACTTGCTCAGGAAAATCACAGGCCCAAGAAGGAGAGTACTTGGAGCTCAGTCTGCTGGAACCCATGATTCCTTCTACTTCACAGCCAGTCCAGCAGTCCGCAGCACTGTGGGCTGGGCTCCGACAAGGACGCTGTAACAAAGCTAATCCATCCGGGTAAATGACAACCAGAATAAGTAAAAGCAATCCATTCTGGTTTTCCTCTACCCCTGGGCAGCAGAAAGAGCAGCAGAGCAGAGTGGCACAAACAGCTCTGGAGAACTTCTTGTATGATCCTTAGAAGAGACGCAGGCCAGAGGGTAGAAGGGACGTGGCCCAGGGCATCCAAAGGTAACTGCCACTTCGTATAAAGTATGAGGCCCAGCCCTGCCCTGTGCGAACCCAACAGCAGGGGCCACTGGGTCAGGGCTCGGGGTAGGAGAAGAATAGGGAAGCCTGTTGACACTACAGCTCCTAAATCACACTGGGCAAACCTCCCCAGGGACACAAGGCGGGACCTGGCCAAGGCCTCAAAGGTCAGCAGAAACATAAATCAGTGCCCTTGTACCAAACAGACTGTGAAGCTACTTTGACCCCACAAAAATTCCCTGGAGTTGAATCAATGTAGGCACACAAAGAGAACAGGGAAATGCCACCTTCCTCCTCCTATCCTCAAAGATCCCCTGAAGTCCCAGGACCGAGAGCATGCCTCCTAGCTCTTGCCGTATCATAATCGCAAAGGTCACAGCCTAGTGACCTTTGTGGCCTACGGCGCCACTGGGCAATGCATCTTCCCTGGCAGTCATTGTACTCAACAGGTCTCCTGGGATTCTCCAGCACCCTCAGGAACCAGGGCCAGCACAGGCTTTCCTGATAATGAACCCTGTACACTGCTCACCTAAAGCATACAGGTTCTAGACTGATATCAGCCCCAAGGCGACCTGGACCAGAGCCAGACCCAGGAGGAGTTCCTAAATGCCCATGCATAGATTGATAGAAATTCTTCTGAAAGGCTCTTTACATTTGGGTTATCAGACAGCAACTCAAGATGTCTGAGTTGTAGCCAGGAGTTGGTGGTGTATGCCTATAATCTTAGCTTATCAGGAGGCTGAAATCTAAGGATCTTGGCCTGCCAGCTAGGCAGAAGAGTCTTTAAGACTCCATCTCCAAATCAATCAGCAAAAATGAGCATTGGTTTGACTGCAGATAAAGCCATAAACCTCTTGGCTCGGTGATCCCATGTGAGTGATCAGTCCCGACAGTCACAGTGGTGTTGACCTTGACAGGCAGGCAACAGTCACAGTGTTGACCTTGACAGGCAGGGTCAGCCCGTGTCAGTCGGTCATAGTCAATCCCTATCAGGGAGCTGTGGAATCAGACTCGGTGTCAGTCAGCCTGTTGGTCCCTGTCAGTCATCATCAGTTCAGTGAGTCTGTCAATGGTAGTCAGTGTCAGTCAGCGTGTTAGATGTCTATCAGTCAGCCTTCATCAGTGTCTTTCTGTCAGCCAGTTGATAAGTATACCACTCACCTGGCTTCTGTATACTGTGTGCCCATGAGCCTGTTTGTTGATTTATCAGCACCTTTCTAGTTTGGGAGAATTGGGATAGGTCTGTCTTTCTTCCATGAGGAAAGAGGAGTATCTATCCCTGAGAACTCAGGGCAAATTACCAAGTTGAGTCAGGCCCCCAGTCCTTCCTTTCCAGCTGAGCCATCTCTGCCAGCCAGCTCTGCCGTGATTCCTGAGCTCTGAGGGCATCTGTTCAGAAGTGACTTAAAGGAAGAAAGTCAGCTTCTGACTCAGAAAAGCCTCTTCCTCTTCAGCAGCGGTTTGGGGGCTAGCCCAGCCCTAGGACCAGCCAGGCCCTCCTGCCTTCCTCTCCCACAAGCCCATGCACCAGGGCCTGAGCAGAAGCCAGGCTTTTCCTCACACAGCACTCCTTCCTCAAACAGGACCAAAGTTCAGGATGGAGGAGGAAAAGGTCCCCTCTTTCATCTCCTCTCCTTCCATCTCCACCTACCTTGTGGGTTTGCACCGCTCACCGTCCCCATGTGCAACCTCATCCCAGCCAGACACCCAGGTGTGAGCAACTAGAGTATTTCCTTACCTCACAGTTACTGGTTCAGGGATGGGCACATCACCCCAGCAGGGCCAATCAGAACCCTTCCCTGGGACTGTTCTCAGACTGTCTATTGAGTCCTTCCACTGAAAGGTAAGTGCTTATGTTTGCCTCAGGAGAAAGCCTCCATTGTTTAGGAGAAAGCTCAGAGGGAGATAATGCACTGGAGGAAACAGACAAGACATGCCTTAATGGGGTTTCCAGCCCCAATTCCAATCAATCCCAGCCACCTCCATCGCTGACCTCCTGCCATTTCGTTTGGCAAACCACAGATATGGCCAAAGAACCTGGCCTAATACAACCAGCAAGCCTGCTGCCCGTTCTAGGCACTGTCTCATTCAGAAGTGGATGATGGTGGGGGGGGGGGGGGTATCCTCAAGCCCCACAACTGCCACCCTTGATCTTCTTGTGTCTGTTCATCCTCATCAATCATGTAGTGACAGACCCTCGGGCATAGCCGTGTGGCCTGTCCAAACTGTACCCACACCAGCCCGAAGCCAGCTCATTGCTCTCCAACTGTGTTCTACCTAAAACCAAAGCTGAACTGCATTCTATTTCGAACAATGCCAAGATCAGTGGCTCCTCTTGATTCTTCCCCTTGGCCTCTGACGTTCAGCAATTTGGCCTCTTGTTCCAGTGAGAGCCTCTGGGAAGGCAGCAGGAGGGCAAACAGGAGCCTGCGTTTCTGGGAGCAGGCAGGAACTCTGCTGCAGGTTTTGGCAAGGACAGCTGTGTTTATGAGAGCCCTCCATCATTGGCCATGAGGATGAAATAGGCTGGCAAACAGGCATCCTTGGCCAGGAAAGGTATGTGCTTGCTGTAGTCCCGGTGACTTCGGGAAAAGCCCCACACCCACCCAAGATGATAGAATAATTCTGGCTGCCAGCTGTGGAACAGCTGTTTCCTCAGCCTTCTCCCAGAGCACTGAACGCGAGAGCCGGTGCCTAAGGGAAGGCCAGTGGGAGGAACAGTTTGTCAGTAGAGCCCATCCAGGTGTGGAAAAGTGATTTATTTCTAGAGCACAATAACAGTTACACACTAGGAACATTCCAGTTACCCAGCCCGTCCCAGTTTTCTGTGTCACAAAGACATACTAAGACTTTGGAAAATTTCCAAAGAGGTTTAGACTTGATACATGGAGCTCCTTCACTTTTGGGGGGCATTGGTCATAACCCAGTGAACCAAGTAAAATAGCTTCACAGCTTACTAAAACAGACTTGTCCTTAGAAGAAGCAGTGTAAACATTTCAGACTGTAAATTAGCAACACTATCATTCCCCGACAGGACACAAAGATGCAAAAGGCAGTGAGCAACAGCACAACTTGTCACACACCTCCCATAGGAAATTGGAAATTGAGGGAGAAGGGGCCTTCTTCAAGACAGAGATCCCAAGATGGCAAGGTAGCATCCTCTGGAAAAAGCAGGTAAGAAGTAGCTCTGGTTGCCACCAGGCTAAAAATCTGGTTTAAAAAGAGGAAGGGGTCTCATAAGGGAATTAGTACTTTTGTAGTCTTACCAACATTTAATCTGAATGTAGATTAGATAGTAAAGAATCAACACTTTCCTAAAAGGTATATAAGTAAAGATTTGTATCAGTGATAGGTACAGGTAATGTAGGTAATGGGTTTGAAGTAACTTACATTTTGGTTCAGTAAGCAGGGAATATAACTATTACATTAGAGCTGCTATGCTGCACTCACAGTATCTTGCTATCACTGTAACCAACTAATGCCAAAAGAATGGTTTTGTAATAAAATTACAGATTGCATCTAAAAAAAATAATAAAAAGAGGAAGGGGGTAGGTAACGGGCGCTGGTGGCTCACACCTGTGGCAACTCAGGAGGCTGAGATCTGAGGACTGTGGCGCTGGTGGCTCACACCTGTGGCAACTCAGGAGGCTGAGATCGGAGGACTGTGGTTTGAAGCCAGCCCAGGCAGGAAAATGTGTGAGACTCTTATCTCCCATTAGCCACCACAAAGCCAGAAGGAGAGCTATGGCTCAAGCAATAGAGTGTCTGCCTTGAGCAAAAAGCTGAGGGACAGAGCTCAGGCCCTGAGTTCAAACCTCAGAACTAGTACCCACAAAAAAAAAGGAAGGACTGATCAAGATGCATGGTACTCATAAACTGATGTATTAGATTGAAATTCCTTTACACAACTACATAAAGATAATAAAAAAAACAATAAAAAGTGGAAGGAGTAGCAGTACTGCCACTACCTTGCCAAGGGGTGGGGTTCACAGCAACATATTCCCCAGAGCCCCACCTTTGGCTGTGCCAGCCTGGAAATGAACAGGAAAGCATTCGTTCCCGTAGGGTCACCAGACAGCAGGAAGTTTCCGCCTTCACCAGGTGTCTCAGAATTCTGTGAACTGCAGAGCTCCCATATTCCAGAATGAACAAACGAGCCACACCTGTGAGGTGACCATCTACCAGGGTAGTGGGCTCCACCCACAGAGGCCAGGCCCCTGAGATGCAGGCATCTAGGACAGACTTGCTCATGTTTTGTTCCTTGCAAATGAGTAGGTCCCTTCTCCCTAAAACCCAGAGCCGTAGCTCTCTGGAAAGCAAAGAAAACCAGCAGTGGCAATAAACCTCTACCTGGAGGTTTCTAGGCAAAACAAAACATCCCAAAGGGCATGTTCTAGAAATTGCCAAGATAGATGGCTGAAGAAAAAAAAAGAAGAGTCCAAGTGAGGCATGAGCAGGCTCAGGTCTGTAATAACCCTCGCCACTCCGGAGACTGCAATCAGAAGGAGGATGGGTTCAAGGACAGTCGGGGCAGGAAACTTTACAAGACCCCAGCTGGATCCATAGACGAGGGGCAAGGCTGGCGCTGGGCAACAGCGGAAGACCTCATCTGAAAAACAACTACAGCAAAAAGGGGTGGAGACAGCTGGGAGCACACAGGCAAGGCCCTGCGTTCCAAGGCTAATAGTACAGGAAGGGAGGGAGGGAGGGAGGGAGGGAGGGAGGAGGGAAGGAAGGAAGGAGGGAAGGAAGGAGGGAGGGAGGGAGGGAGGAGGGAAGGAAGGAAGGAAGGAAGGAAGGAAGGAAGGGAGGAAGGGAGGAAGGGAGGAAGGGAGGAAGGGAGGAAGGGAGGAATCCTTCCAGTACCATCCATGCGCGGACGTTTCCTAGTCTATGGTGTTGGTGAGCACTTGTAGGAAGCAACTTCTGGGACCCAGCGTGGCGGCCGCGGTGAGGCCTCCACTTCCGAGTATATAATCAGCAAGACAGGCGCTGCCTCAGTGGCACCAGGTGGGCGTCCTCCGCTGAGAAGGAAGAAGTGTCCCCTGACCAACTTGAGGGGAAAAAGGAGGCTGACCAGGCCCGGGCTGGCCCGCCGGGGCCGCCACGCCTGTCCGCCTTGCCCAGCGAGCCGGGTCGGTCGCCCTCGCAGCGCCGCACACGGCCTTCCCTAGGGGTTTGCCAGCCGCGCCCCGGCCCTGGGGGCTCTGCGCAGACCAGGGCCGGGCCGGGCCGCGTCGGCGGGCATCGCGCGCTGCTCCCGATCCGGACGCGCGGCGCCGCGGGGCGCGGCGGTGCCGGTGCGCGCCCGGGCGCGCGCGTCCCTCTCCTCTCCGGCGGTGAGGACCGCAGATCCACCCGAGGCGCCATCGCCCCACGTGGGCTCCGCGCAGCTCCAGCGGCTCAGCAGGCGCTCGCCGGCCGGTCCGCGCCGGGCAAGCGAGTCCCCGGGCGCGTCCTCGTCCTCGGGGCCCCGTCGACCTCGGGGCAGCTGCACCTGCAGGCGGGGGGGTGGGAGAGCGCGGGGGGCCGGGGGCCCCGATCGCGGGCCCGATCCCAGCGGCCCCGGGCTGGGGGCGGCCGCGGCGCCGGACGGCGCGGGCAGCCCGCGGTGGGGAGCGCGCGGCGGGGCCTGGAGGCTGCGCACGGCGTCCTCGCTGAAGGCCAGCCGCGAGAAGCTGCCCCGCAGGGTGGCCAGGTCCTCGGCGCGGGGCTCGGCGGGCGCGCGGGGCTCCCGGGGGCTCGGCGGGGCTGCACCCGACGGCCGGGCCTGCGTCTTGGCACGAAGCTCATCGGCCACCGACAGCTGCGGGCGGCTCGGCCTCTCCGGATGCGAGAACTTGCACTTGATGCCGTAGGTGCATTTCTTGCCTAAGAGCCGTGGGGCAGAGAGAAGTCTGGGTGGGGGGGGGGCCTGAGGGGTCCCCACGGAAGAACCCACGTGGCCCCTCTCCGTGGGGATCCCTCCCTGCAGACACCCAGCCCACCACCACTCCAGACTCTACTGCCCTCGTGCCACCAGACTGGCAGGTGAAGGGGCACAGGAGGGACCAGTGAGCCCAGGTCAATGTCAGAACCAAGAAAAAGAAGAAAAGGGGGAGACATCTAAGGCAGAAGCTCTTCGTAGAGAGAAACTCCGGGTTCATTCTTAAAGGAAATCCTCAGAGGTAGAGACTCAGAGCAGAGGAGGGAGTTGAACAAATTAAGAGCCGTAAATAACAATGAAACTCAGAAAGAGTGGGAATCCCGGAAGGTGGTTTGATCTTGGTGGTGTGATAAGTTTGGAATGTGTTCTGATAAATGTCAGCTAACCCGGGAATGCAAGGAAGGGTGAGCCTGGAAATACAACTTTTGCTTTGATGACTCGCTGCTTTGCTTCATTGTTACTTGTGATCACTAACTGCTAGTTCTGCTTCCATCAACCTGCTTGTCATCACCTACACTGCCACCTGTGTGTGACCTGCTTGTCCCTTCAAAACCCTGCTGCAAGAGGGCTTGGCTGCCGGTCTTCACTGTTCTGATATCATGGGAAGCAGTCACCACAGATAAAAAAGATTCTTAGCCTGATTGACTGAGTGCTAGTGACTCTTTTCAGCGATCATAGGTTCGAGTCTCACCAGTCCCAGGAAGTTGGGATACTTCAGTCAGCAGTGTGACCATCTGTCCAGGATCCCCCCCTTGACCAGAGTCTTGAGATCAAATCTCTGGATCTGGTGACCTCCAGCCTCTATCTCCTCAGGGACCTACAGATGTGACTAGCTTGGGGGCAGGGTGTGGGTGCTCGCGGGGTTGGATTGTGCCTCTAGCTCTGCCTCTGTTTCCCTCCATTGTGTGAACCATTGTTCTCTTCCTGTGCGGTGTTCTAATAGAGCTGATCAGTAAGAGATCTGAACTAAGGCACTTTGGAGTTCCAAAGGGAGCAGCCTGGGCCAGCCTGAACATAACTTTACACTCAGCGAGAAGTGACATTGAATGTCACGCGAGGCCTTGTGGAAAACAAGACCTTGGCAAGATGACTTGCCAAAGATAAAGAGCTGACCAGAAGGTTGACGGTGATCAAATCCTTAACTCTCCTCACCCCCAGGGTTTGAACTCAGAACCTTAAGCTCGTAAGGCAGATGCTGAAGCACTTGAGCCATGCCTTAGGCCTTTCTCAAGGTTGGGCTCAAGCCCTGAGTCCCTACTTCACCTTTTAAATAGCTGAGAATACGGTCAGGAACCACCCCACCTAGCCTAATCTGTAACTCTTAATGGATAGCCCATACCAAAGTCTGCGGTGGTCAGGTCTGAAAGGTCAGGGGACAGAGGGGATAGTACGAGGACATGAGGTACAAGGAGGTCAGGTGAAGAGGCTGAGCCCTGAGGCTGGGGGCACACAGCTTTCCTGCTTCTCAGACCCAGCCTGGCTCTCCATGTCACGCTGCACCCAGGCCAGGCAACCATGTCTAGGATGTCAGTTCATCCTTCCAGGAGCCTTGTCAGGAAACTGCAGCCCCGAGAGCTTAGGTTCCTCTCCATAGTCACACAGATATTTAAGGACACAATGTGGGGTTAGAACCCAGAGCCTGCGATGCCTGAGTGCCACCCACCATAGGGGCAGTGCTTCCAGGATGGCGCTGGGGGCCTCGGCTTCTTGCTCAAGAAGTTGCTCAGGGTGGGTCCCCGGCGGCCCAAGGGGTCATCAGGAGGCATGAATCTGAAGAACAACCAGAGATGAGTCAATGGCATCTGGATGGAGGTTGAGGGGACAGGCCCAAGCCACCCACTGAAGCATGGGTCATCCATCCAGGAGCTGCCAGGGCGTGTTCAACGCAGGCCCAGAAAGCTCTAGCAATGCCTTAAAAAAAAAAAAAAGTGTACCCATGAAGCCAGGCACCAGTGGCTCACACCTGTAATCCTAGCTTTTCAGGAGACTGAGATCTGAGGATCACAGTTCAAAGCCAGCCCAGGCAGGAAAGTCCCTGAGACTCTGATCTCCAATGATCCACTAAAACTCCAGAAGTGGAGCTGTGGTTCAAGGCACTAGCCTTGAGTCCAAAAGTACCTGCTTCATCAGAATTCTGCATTGTGCCTACTGCCTGGGTGATTTTCCTCCAGGAAAAGGGACATCATCCCTAGGGCGTCCCCAGCTTCCCACAACCCATCGGGACCCCCTTGGCTTCATAGCTCCTAGAAGGTGTCATAGCGTAGGCATGCTCTCTTGTGTCCACATGCCATGCCACACTTGGCTTGGGCATCACATGGGAGAGTCAGTGCTGACAGCACCTCCTGGAAGCCGAGGCTTGGGCCATTGGCACACAGCACCTCAGCTGGTGGTCTGCAGACCCTCCTCTCCTCTGCAAACCCGGGGGCTCAGGGCTGCCTGCCCCTGCCTGCAACTCCCTCTCCTTGGCACAGGATAGGAACGTATACTCCAAGCTCAAAGAGAAAACAGCCCTTCGGAAGGAAAACTCCCATTTGCCGAGATCCACCATTTTAAGTAAATACATTTGGCAAGGCGCTGGTGTCTCATGCCTGTAATCTTAGTTACTCAGGAGGCTGAGATGTGAATAAACAAATAAATACATAAAAATGTCTGTTCCCAGGAGACCTGTTTAAGCAGTGCAGAGGTTCTGGAGGAGGCCTGTGAACCCTATACATGGGAGAGGCTGTTTCCATGGGTTACTGTCTCCCTAAAAGTCAGAATCCTGCTGACCTGGGGGCAATTGGGTGATTCCTGGTCCCTGGAGGGCTCAGCTCCCGGCTCCCCGCTGCGTCTCTGGCTTCAGAATTGGGCCCTGACCAAGAATCCAAGGAGCCGCCGTCTACAGTTATTAGAAGTCCCAGTGGCTTTGAGTCCTGGTCTCTCAGGAGCAGGACCAGTGCCAAGAGGGCCCTGGGGACGTGGCCGGGACACGGGGCAATGCCCTCGCTCGCTCAGGCAGCAGGCAGGTCCTGCTTCTGGCCGCCCTCGGCCGAGGCCAGTGCATGGGAGCTTGGCTTAGGCCCCTGGTGTCACCAGGCCAGAAGCAGCCACGACCCTCCAGCCCGCCATGAGCATTGCTGGAATCCACAGGTACCAGACTTGCCACGTCCTTCTAGGCTTAAGCTGGCCACTGAGAGCCGCGGGCCCTGAGTCTCTGGAAGTGACAGTGAGGGTTACCTACTTGGGGGGGGGGGGGCGGGACTGTCGCCCAGCAGCTGTCCTGGGGCTCAGGAGGACATCTTTGCCTTCCTCACTGTAGGGCTGGGAGTGGGGGAGGACCGTGCCGGGAGCCTCACCAGCGGACAGTGCAGACCCAGCACCACGGGGCCAGGGACCCAGCAGCCGACAAGCCTCACCCCAGCAACCCCTACCCAAGCACCTGCTGCCTGGCAACCCCAAGATCAGTGTGCAGATCACCATTCCCGTGGTGCAGATGTCTGATAGGTCCAGGGCCGAGCTGACCCAGGGGCCAGGTCTAAGGAGCCAAACCAACAGGTTCGCCTGTCCATCTGAGCCAAGAGCCGGGAGCACACTCCATTCCAGTCAGTCAAGGTCTTTACAGCCCACCGCCCATATAGCATTCAAAACAACAACAACAACGTTCAAGAAGGGAAAATAAGAAGAAGAGAGGGAGTAGTCAGTAACCTTGCCGACTCAGGAGGCTGAGAGCTGAGGATTCAAGTTGTAAACCATTCCTGGCAGAAAAGTCCTTAAGACTCTTATCTCCAATTAACTAGCAAAAAACAGAAGTGGGGGTGTGGTTTAAGCGGTAGAGCACCAGCCTTAAGTGGAAAAAGTTAGATGAGAGCACAAGTACTGGGGTTGAGGGGAAGAGAAACTGAGAGAGCGAGCCAGCGCGTGTTTCCTGGGCTGCCCAATGGTGAGGACAGGCCGGCTCTGCGCCCAGCCCTCCATGCCGGCCCTGCACCCAGCCCTCCATGCCGGCCCTGCACCCAGCCCTCCATGCCGGCCCGCGCCCTCCATGCCGCTCCGCGCCCTCCATGCCGGCCCTGCGCCCAGCCCTCCATGCCGGCTCTGCACCCTCCATGCCGGCCCGCGCCCTCCATGCCGGCCCGCGCCCTCCATGCCGGCCCGCGCCCTCCATGCCGCTCCGCGCCCTCCATGCCGGCTCTGCGCCCTCCATGCCGCTCCGCGCCCTGCCCTCCATGCCGGCCCGCGCCCTCCATGCCGGCCCTGCGCCCAGCCCTCCATGCCGGCCTGCGCCCTCCATGCCGGCCCTGCGCCCAGCCCTCCATGCCGGCCCTGCGCCCTCCATGCCGGCCCTGCGCCCTCCATGCCGGCCTGCGCCCTCCATGCCGGCCCTGCGCCCAGCCCTCCATGCCGGCCCTGCGCCCTCCATGCCGGCCCTGCGCCCAGCCCTCCATGCCGGCCCTGCGCCCTCCATGCCGGCTCTGCGCCCAGCCCTCCATGACGGCCCTGCGCCCTCCATGCCGGCCTGCGCCCTCCATGCCGGCCCGCGCCCTCCATGCCGGCTCTGCGCCCAGCCCTCCATGCCGGCCCTGCGCCCTCCATGCCGGCCTGCGCCCTCCATGCCGGCCCTGCGCCCAGCCCTCCATGCCGGCCCTGCGCCCTCCATGCCGGCCTGCGCCCTCCATGCCGGCCCGCGCCCTCCATGCCGGCCTGCGCCCTCCATGCCGGCCTGCGCCCTCCATGCCGGCCCGCGCCCTCCATGCCGGCTCTGCGCCCAGCCCTCCATGCCGGCCCGCGCCCTCCATGCCGGCTCTGCGCCCAGCCCTCCATGCTGCCCCGCGCCCTCCATGCCGCCCCGCACCCTGCATGCCGCCCGTACCTGTCATTGACGAAGGAGAACATGAGCAGCCTCTGCTCGATGAACCACCCCCACTCGGGGTTCTCGCTCTGCAGGTCGCGGTAGCTGTCATTGGACACGATGACGCCGTCCTCCTCGTAGGCCACCTTGACGATGTAGCGGTCGTCGTAGCACACCACGCGCTTGCCGTTCACCTTGCGGGACGGGGTGTACACGAGCACCTCCTGCCGCTCCAGCTCCTCCAACACGTGCTGCTCTGGGATCACACGCAGAGACCCCACTTCAGGGCCTTGGGGAGGACCCCTGACCAAGCCCAGGGAGCCCCCTAGCCATTCCTGAGACCCCGCTCTGCCGCAGCCAGCAAGATGGGGGCAGGGTTCCGGAAAGGGGAAGAAACGACGGTGCTCCCAGTCTCCCAGAGGTTCACTTCTTTCACTGTCACTGACTTTGCAGCAGACTGAGAGCACAGAGATTCGGAGTGTCTGCCCTGTGCCTTTGATGACACAGTCCAGAGGATGATACCCTCAATATGGGAGAGCTGTAAGCCCTGTATGGTGGTGCACATCTGTAATCCCAGCTACTTAGGAGGGGGAGGTAGGAAGATCTCAGTTGACAACAGCATGGGTAAATGCATGAAACCTCATCTGGGAAACAAACTTAAAGCAAAAAGACTGGAGGTGCAAGTGCAAAGCCCTAAGTTCAATGCCTAGCACAGAAAAAAAGGAGTCTACTGAGTCCAGGATTCAGAAGGTGCGCTCTACGCTGGGTGCCAGTGGCTCCCGCCTGTAATCCTAGCTACTCAGGAGGCTGAGATCTGAGGATCTCGGTTCAAGGCCACCCCAGGCAGGAAAGTCCTTGAAACTCTTATCTCCAATAAACCACCAGAAAACCGAAAGCTCAAGTGGTAGAGCGCTAGCCTTGAGCTGAAGAGCTGAGGGACAGCGCTCAGGCCCAGAGTTCAAGCCCCACAACTGACAAATAATAATAATAATACACCTTTTTACCTATCCCACAGTATCACAAGCAGATTGCATAAGCCCAGGGGCGTGCGAGTTCTTGCACAAGTTAAGAAGGAGGTAGACAGGTCAGCATGTACAGATATGGCAAGGTCCTTCCTGTCAGGGGCTAACCATCGGCATCTAGCAAGGGAGGGCCACTCTTTGACCTTAGTTTTACCTTTGAGACACAAAAATATAAATCTCTTCTACACATGACAATGACTCAGAACTCAGATAGAATATCAGCATAGGCCTGGGCACTGTCCCTCAGCTCTTCAGAACAAGGTGAGTGCTCTACCACTTGAGCCACAGAGCCACTTCTGGTTTTGTGCATGGTTTACTGGAAATAATCTCCAGAAATTCCTACTCGGGCTGGCTTTGAATTGTGATCCTCAGATCTCAGCCTCCTGAGTAGCTAGGATTACAGGCGTGAGCCACTGGTGCCTGGCAGTATAGTCTTCATAAATTGTTTCTTCCCTCAAGTGATGGCCCTTTGCAACATGACATGATGTACAGACTGTGTAGAAGGGTGTGCTAATGAGCTGGGGGTGTACCCCAGTGCTAGAACATTTGCCTAGCATAAGTACCTCCTCCCAAAAAAGAAGAAAGGAGGGGAAAGGATGGAGGGAAGGAAGAAAGAAGGGAAGGAAGGCAGGAAGGAAGGAAGAAAGGAAAGAAAGAAGGAAAAGGCAGAGCACTTGCCTAAAAAAATACATAATGCATCCTGGTACACAGTACAATTTAAACATCCATAAACTTGGAGAAGTAGGCGGGCCCTGCGTGAACAGTGCCTGCTACCGTTCCCAGTTCAGTCTTTTCTCATTAACACAACCCAAGTTGTGCTAATCATAATGTTTATAGGATCCTTGCTTGTGTTTTTTTTAATGTGTGTGTATGAAGACTATTTCAGTGTGCTTACACATTGGATTTTTCACAGCTGGAATCATGCTGTAAGCTATATTCTAGGAGTTGAAGCTTGGGCCTCACACTTGCTGCTCACACTCTACCACTTGAGCCATGCCCTCTCCCCCGGGCCCCACCCCATACTTGCCCTTCTACACCTGCTTTCTTCATTCACCATGCGGTGGGCAAGGCTTGGCCAGACCCATGTATTCATTGTCAGCAGTGTGTCTAAGTCCCTGGGACAGAAGCCCAGGGAACTCCCCAGGGAGCATCTCTTAAGAACTTTGGCCATCTGGTATGTACAGAATGGCCTCTTATAGTGGTTCTATCTTGCATTCTCTTGTTATTAATGAGATTGGGCATCTTTGCACATATTTATTGCCATTTATGTTTTCTGCACAAGGTAATTCATGCTTTAGGTCATCTTTCCATTGGTTCATTGTCCTTTTTTTTTTTTTTTTTTTTACTTCTGGTTCATATGTTATGTATAGCCTGCCCAAGTTTTAGTATCTCTCCCTCTCTTTGTCTCTATCTCCCTGTTTCTAGTATCTGTTAATGAAGAGGTTTTTTTAAGTTACTAGAGTCAAGATTATTTATCAAAGCCAGGCGCCAGTGGCTCACGCCTGTAATCCTAGCTACTCAGGAGGTTGAGATCTGAGGATCGAGATTCAAAGCCAGCCTGGGCAGGAAAGTCCGTGAGACTCTTATCTCCAATTAACTACCAGAAAACTGGAAGTAGTGCTGTGGCTCAAGTGGTAGAGTGCTTGCCTTGAGCTGAAGAGCTCAAGAACAGTGTGCTCAGGTCCAGAGTTCAAGCCCCATAATAGACAAAAAAAAAAAAAAAAGTTATTTATCTTTTGTTCTGTGTGGCTTATTTAAAATTCCTTTCCTACTATAAAATAATTTCTTACTCTTTGCTCCCTATCATAATGACATATTATACAACCAAATGGCTGGAGGCACGAGTCTCCCGTTGAGATGATAAAAGTTGTTTGCAGTTGCTGGTTCATGAGGAGAATGAAAGGTGAGCATGCACTCCCTTCCTTCCCACCCCAATCCGGAAGCCATGACCGTGAAGAAATGCAAAGGGGCCCCACAATCATATCAAAAGTGGACTTGGGGACAGCAGCAAACTCAGGTCTGTGAGAAGTTTCAGAAGACAGGAAGCAGAGAAGACACAGCAACCCTGCCAAGTGGTGCTAGAGAGGCTGGCGGCGGAGGCCGGAGCCAAGCTCCCCGGAGGCTGCGTGCTACTCCCTGGGGCAGGGCCTGGCCGAGGTGCGCGCAGCAGTGCATTCACTCAGAGGGAACCAACCTATGCTCATCGCCTACCCAATCACTATGAAGAAAGAGAAGACACAGCCAGCCAGAAAGAGGGCTGCCACTGTGCTGATCTCCAACAGAACCCTCTTCATTCTGGCACTGGAAAACGTGGCAGACAGAGCACCCACTGCCTGCCTGCTCCCCACAGGGCTGCCGGCCAGCACTCGTGGTGAGCCCTGCTATTCAGGGACGCAGCCATATGCAGGGACAGAAACCCCCTGGCACTTGCATAGGTTTATATGTTCTTTATTCACAATAAAAACTGACAAACACAGATCACCATACTGCTGGACAAAAACCAGAGAGAGAGAGACAGAGAGACAGAAACAGACAAGAGACACAGAGATAGACAGAGATGAACAGAGACCTGATCCCAGAGGATAATTTATAGAAGTTAACAGCACATTTTTCAAATGCCCAAGAAGATATTGTATCCATAAGACAAGAATATTACTTTATTTTAAAATAAAAAAATAATGGAGCTGGGCACTGGTGGCTCCTGCCTGTAATCCTAGCTACTCAGGAGGCTGAGATCTGAGGATCACAGTTTAAAGCCAGGCCAGGCTGGGAAGTCTGTGAGACTCTTATCTCCAAAAACTACCAAAAAAGATGGGGAAGTGGAGCTGTAGCTCACATGGTAGAGCATTTTTGAACAAACAAAGCTCAGGCATAGCATCCAGGTCCTGAGTTCAAGCCCAGGACCAGAACAAAAATGAATGAATGAATGAATGAGTAAGTAAATAAATAAATAAATGTGAAACACAGAGTGGCCCCAAGGTCGACTCTCTGATGGCTGACTTTGCTGACCTGGGTTGGTAATGGCCTAGCCTCTGACATCTTGCTATAAGAGAATTGGGAGAAAAAAACCAAACAACCTATTTATTTAAATCACTGTGTTTGATTAGTTATTCCTGGTTTAGGAATTGAAATAGAACTGAGGATCTAGTTCAGTATGAAGGCCATTTGCCTATCATAGACAAGGCCCTGGGCTTCATCCCCAGTACTGAAAAAGTTACCCTTGCCTGGCCGAATGAATGTTTCTTTCAGATCTGATTGGCTCTGACAGGAGGAATACAGATCCAATCTTTCTTCAGAGTATTAAAAATTATGGGAGAATTATTTTTGGAACCTAATGGCTCACAGTTAAAGATAATCTAGCCATTCGCTGAGTCAAGAGTATTCATTGAGCACATCTCTGTGCCAGAGGCTAGGCTAAGCCAAGATGAAGGGCCCCATGAAACTTGAATACATTGAGGAGGGGATACCACTAAGCCCAGACTAACCAGCTGCCACTGTGGGGGGCATTACCCAGGAAGAGTGCACCATACCCCAACACGTTTGCCTGGTCCAGCCTACCTCTGATGGGGGTATCCGAACGTGTTGGCTCTTTCCTCCACGATGGGACAAAAACCTTGATGTACGTGTGTCCTCTGTCCCTGAACCAGTCCACAGCCAGCTGGATTCCCCGGCAAGAGAAGGCTTCTTTATTTCCATGGCTACGATAGAAAGACAGAGAAATCTGCAGAGCTATGACAAAGGTGCCTAACGGCCATCTTACAAGATGATCAAGATGGACCCAGACAATTCTGACCCAGGCGACTCTAACCCAGAGCATTCTTGGCTGAGCACAGTGGTGCATGTTTGTAAATCCAGCTACTCAGGAGGTCAAGATGACCAAGATTAGAAGCCATCCTGGGCAAAAATGTTAGCGGGAGCCCCATTTAACACACAGGCATGGCAAAGTGATGTGTGTCTGTAATCTCAGTTATCTGAGAATAACAGGTCGGTTTGAGGTCAGTCTCAGGAAAAGCAAATATGGCAAAAAAAAAAAAAAAAAAAGGACTGAGGGGATGGCTCAGCTGATAGAGCACTTGTCCAACAAATAAAAGGCCCAAAACAAGAAGATTAATTTAAAAAGTAATATATTCTAGCAAATTATGTATTTGTAGAAACTACAGCCTGTAACTGTGACCAGGCAACTGTGAGACATACTCTGGTTCTGAGGGGGAAAACTGTCTAAGGATTCACTATCAGTCATCTCCTTAACCAAAGCCAATATGGACTGATGTGGAATGGATGGGTGGAGCCATCTGCAGAACTGCTCTCATCCTGAGAGATGGTCATGAATGTGTTACGGGGTTTCCCAAGGCCCAAACAAGGAGGCCAGCTCCCTACAAATCCCACCAGACACATCAATGAGCAGTGAGGGTAGAGAGAGGTCTCCAGGGCCATCTCCTTCACGAGCCCACAGTGGATTCCATCAGAGGTAGACGAGCAGCGCTAGTGATCTAGGGGTTGGCAGGACCTATGGACACCTGGAGGCTGAGAACCCTGGCTTAGGCCTTCATGAGGAATCACAGCCTGGTCTGTTCACATTAACGAATGGCAGAGCCTTGCTGACCTGCAGCCCCACAGCCTGTGAACGACAGCACTGGTCTGGCCATCCCTGACCCAGAACCCCCTCGCTGCTCCTGCAGCCAACATGCAGAAGGAGTGGATGATACCCAGTCTCCGGTTGTCCAGGACTGCGCACCCCCATGCCTGCAGACCCCAATAAAGGCTTGAAGCCTCAGAACTCCCCCTCCACACCCCGGGGCAGCCATCCTTCTTGAGGTTTTCCACTCGCCTGTCTGGAAGATGTGTGTTTTTGCTTTTGCTTTGACTTTGCTTAGCTTTCATAAATCTGCTTCTGCTTTGGTCTCCCCCCGGGTGTGTCCTTGAATTCTTTCTTGAACAAGACCAAACCCTTGCTCGCCCTAAGACCCAGTGATGATGCACGGAAGCCGCACGGGCCTCATCTGGCAGCACAGAGGGCAGTAAACTGGAAGGGACCAGAGCGGGCTTGGTGCCAGCTAAGAAGCTGTGGTGATGGGAACTGAGCTGCCCGTGCCAGAGAAGAGAGGAAACGTGGGTGAGCTTGAGAGCCATGTAGAAGGCACATCTCCAGAGCTCCATTTCTGATTAGCCGTGGAGGGTGAATGAGGGCACTGAGGCTGCTCAGACCTCTGGCATGGCTGGATGGGGGCTGTTCACGGACACAGGACTTCTGAAGGCAGATCGGGTTAAAAACAGAATGTCACTCACAAGTTTGGTCTTGGAGGCACGCTGGGTTGGGGAAGGGGGAAGCTTTGTGACTGCCAGGTGGGTATGCACGGCTTCAGGGAGGAGGCGTGAGCAGTAACAGTTGGGGCTCGTTGCCTAGAGTTTGAGCAACAGTAGAAGCCACAATGTGGACAAAAATAACCGATTGCCAGGGAGGAAGTGAGAGTGTGGTGAGGAGTGGGGTCCCGGTGTTTTGCAGGGAAGGGAGACAGACAGCAGACCGAGATCTTTCTGCTTCCTCCAGCCCCTTATCACACCAACCTTGACCCCTTCACCACAGGACCTTTGCACCAGTTCTTCCTTCCCCCTTGGCTTCATTCACTCCTACATCTCCTGCAAATCTCAGCTGTGTGTTCATGTCCTTGGGAGCGGTGTCCCCTGACTTCTTGGATTCTCACAGCACCACACCACTGCCTAGTTCGCCGCTGTGTTCCCCCTGCCTTTCTGGTCATTATTTAGGGCTGAACAAAAGCGTGCTGAGAAGATGAGCCGCGTAGGCAGCAGGGATAGTCGTCTGGAAAGACCGTGGTAAGGCAGGACATGGGTGGTCCAGGGGCCAAGACTGCAGCGTGGCTGCCACACAGGGAGAGGGCGGAGGGGAGGCAGAGGCAGGCCAGGCTCTGAGCAGCGTCCTGAGAGCCCTGACCATGTCTGCCTGCGGCCCGCACAAAGTCATCCATGACCCACCCTTGCTATTTTCTCTGGGGACTAAGACAGACATAGGTTTTTAAAAACAAGGAAGGAGCTGGCCACTGATGGCTCATGCCTGTAATCCTCACTACTCAGAAGGCTGAGATCTGAGGATCACGGTTCAGAGTCAGCCCCGGAAGGAACATCCATGAGACTTTGATCCCTGATAAACCACCAGAAAACCAGAAGAGGCACTGTGGCTCAAGTGGTAGAGCCCTAGCCTTGAGCTGAAGAATTGAGGGACAGCGCCCAGGCCCAGAGTTCAAGCCCCACAACTGACACAGAAACAAAAACAAGGAAGGAGCCAGGCGCCAGAGGCTCACATTTGTAATCCTAGTTACTTAGGAGGCTGAGATCTAAGGATCGAGGTTCAAATCCAGCCCAGCCCAGGCAAAAAAGTCTGTGAGACTTTTATCTCCAATTAACCACCAGAAAAACCAGAAGTGGCTCAAGTGGTATAGCTGAAAATCTCAGGGACAGAGTTCAAGTCCCACAACTGAAGTAGAAAAGAAAAAAAGCGGGCTGGGAAGGTGGCTCAGTGGTAGAACACTTGCCTTGCATGCTTGAGGCCCTGGGTTCGATTCCTCAGCACCACATAAGAAAAAAGCCGGAAGTGGCGCTGTGGCTCAAGTGGTAGAGCGCTAGCCTTGAGCTGAAGAGCTGAGGGACAGCGCCCAGGCCCAGAGTTCAGGCCCCACGACCGGACCAAAAAAGAAAAGAAAAGAAAAGAAAAAAAGCCAAGGAAGGATGTAGTTGGAAGCACTAAGCTGTCCAGCTGGAAGTCAGGCTGTAGGGGGAGGGGGAAACATGCGGAGCCTGGCATGGCCGCCAGGTCTGGGGTTCTCCACATTGAGAGGAGACATCCAGGCTGAGCCAGGAGACTCCCACAAACCACAGGGCGAATACCTTAATGCAGGGGCTGTGGGAAAGAAAAAGGACTGGGACACGAGGTCTTGCTAGCCCAGGAGGAAAGAGGAAAGGACTTGGAGGGAGAAGGCGGCCGCTCACCAGCTGATCGGCCCTGTAGAAACACGGTGCAGTCAGGAACATGAGCCTTGTTTTCAGTACAGCCTGCAAGGCCGGAAGCCTCAGGGTGATCCTAGCCCTGCATGTCTGCCTTGAGGCAACACATCCCCAGACATCACCATCATCGGCCTCTCGCAGGCCCGCAGGCCTGGTGGGCTGTCAGAGGGCCTAGGGATAAACCAACACTTGCTGCTGGGGAGAGCACTTGGAGCAGAGTCCAGTAAGGGCCTCCACCGGGCCTCAGAGTGCTGGGGGGAAGGGAGAGGGGACCTGAGTCATGCACCTACAGGGAAATGGACAAACCGTAAGTTGTCCATGCCGGCTCTCTGCACTGGTTTAGAAGGCCCCATATGGGGAGGCATCCCTGCCGCTCCTGGGAGCGCCCACGGGTGCAGAGAGTTCTGCCTGCCGGGCCGTGAGGCACATTTCAGTCTCATTCCATCACTGCCACAAGCTCCTGCAGAAGTGACCTTCACCTCCGTTGATCCCTTGAAACTGAAGCAAAGCAACGCACCCAGCGCTCTGCTCTCCAGGCAACCAGACCCTGACTGCCACCTTCCAGCTCTCCCTCCCGCCTCCTCAAGACCCCTGGGGCCCCCAGGGCAGCTCCTCTGGCTAAATAGCTCCTGCTCAGGTGAGGACCCTTGGTGGAACTCTTAACATGCACTGGGAACTGGCTTAGAAGGCCATGAGAAAAGGAAACAGGAGCCCTGAGGTTTTGAAAAGGGGAAGCGGGCTAGGGCTGTCACTCAGAGAAATGACACAATCTGGTTGTACACCACTGTACCCTTGACCGGTTCCCAAGAAGGCCCTGAAGTGGTGAAGAGCTCCCAAAACAGCCAGCAGGAAGCAAGGCTATGGGAGAAATGGAGGCGGGAGCTCAGGGGTCGGTGCGGTAGAGGGCTGGTGCTATTTCTGCTGTTATTTATGGGTGGCAGTTGAAACGGCCCTGTTGTAACTGTCACCACTCTGAGCCTTGGCATGAGATCTCTGCCCAGCTCAGGCCAGAGGAAGAGAGGCAGAGTAGGCGCTGCTCTGGACACCCTGACTGATGATAAGAGCAGAAATGGATGAGGACCTAGGAAGAGGCTCAAGGCTCAAGTTAATCAAAACAGATCTAGAGGCTCAGAGGCCAGTCTGACCTTATCTGGGCTGGGTATGATAATAGGTACCTATAATCTCAGCACTCAGGAGACAGGCAGGACGGTAAGTTTGAGGCCACCCTGGGCTAGACAGGGAGACCCTCTCTCTCAAAACAATAATACCTTTATCTCAAAAACTGGCTTAATTTTTGTCTCAAAAATCTCTTTCCTACCTCCCTGAGAAGTCATATGTAAACCAAAGTACAGATCCAGCCTGGATGCCCATCTCTGGGCAACTCCTTCCAAAAGAAACAGTCTGTTAGGTTTTAAAATGAAAACATCAAACCTGAAGAAAAAGGCCAATGTGCTCCAAACACATTGCACGAAGCCCCACTGCGGAGCAAGAAGAGGATGTGAAATCACTGGGTGTTTTCCCTCCATGCTGCCTCTTCTAGACTTGCCTACAGAATGCAAAATAGGTTGGGGGCCTAGGAGTCCACCGAAGACATGTGCTCACAGCAGCTCCTGAGAACCCACGATCTTCCCGCACACTGCCAGACAGCTCCTAGCGGGTTCTCAGCGAGAGCCACCTTCTCTTTACAAAGTGGCAGATAGAGGGATGGCCCTTATATAGGGTCTGTGAGTCCTGCAGGGCCATGCGATGCACCACCACACAAGCACCAGCCATGTAGGAACAAGGCCTGGCACCAGCAGACCCCAGTGAAGGAAAGTCTAGGAGACTCTTATCTCCAGTTAGTCACAGAAAAAGTGGGAAATGGCGCTGTGACTCAAGTGGTAGAGTGTTAGCTTTGGGCAAAAAGAGCTCAGGGACAGTGACCAGGCCCAGAGTTCAAGCCCCCAAGATCGGCAAACTAAAAAGATAATAATAATAATAATAGCTACTGAAATACAATTTCGTGAAGACAATGAGGGAAAAAAAGTTACTGAAAAGCCAGGCTGCTGCTCTGAAAGCCAAGGCACAGCCACCACAGCCCTGAGGACAGAGACACAGCAAGCAATGGACACCGGGTTTTACCAAAAGCAGCCACATGAAGCGACCCACGTCACACTTGATCTTCCAGCTCCCCCAGAGCCAGACAGCACGCAAACAGCAGTGTCCACATCAAGACAGAGGACAAGGCTGTGAAACACTGCAAACCTCAGGAGGAGGCCCTTTCAACGCTGCGTGAAGTCTAAGGTCAGCCGGTGATGAGATGCCCATTGGACTTTCAACTATCCATGGTCTGTAGAGGGTTAACCTCTGCTGGGATCTCTTCCACAGCTGAGGATCCAGCAGGCTCTGGGGGCCGTGGATCCTGCTGAAACTCCCAGTGGGCAACACTGTAAACATCACTGCAGGGAGAAAGGCCAGGAAGGGGGCAGACCTTAGGCCCCCACTCTCTCCCATAGCCTACTTTTGAAGGAAGCAAATGAAGTCCCACAATTAAGTGGTTATGCAATTTGTCTCCTTTCCCTAACTGTTACAACCCAGGGGACAGGGAGTAGAGGGGCAGGGATATTTTGTGTGTGTGTGTGTGTGTGTGTGTGTGTGTGTGTGTGTGTGTGTACAGAGAACACAGTCTGGTTGGCTGAGGTATTTTTATAAGCAGCAAGTGTGTCAAAACATCTAGGCAGGAAGTTTCAGTAATGATTTCCCTTTATAAGCCACACAGAGTGAGTGCAAAGGACTAAGCTCATAACGGTTAAAGGAAGTTGCGAGTGGAAGTGGCAGACCAAATGGATTCACCCAGTGCACTTCATGCGCACTAAAGCACGTGGCTTAATCTTGAATTCCAGGCCACGGCAGAGACCTCCACCAAAAGACAGCCCTCCGGTGGACTTCTGTTATAACAAGTTCCAAAGATATTCTCTGGCCCCAAAGAGAGAAGCTGGTATTCTGTGACCACTTTAATGTTCCAATTTGGAACTCAAGAACTCCAATCATCTCAGACTGGGAAGGACTTTGATATACATGGTAATTATCTTCTATCCAAAGCCCTTTTCTGATTGGTCCCTAGTGAAAGAGAATCACTCAAAGGACAGATTCCCCATGCTTACACCCCTCTCGGAGATTACTCAATTTTTAAAAGTCTTGTTAACAAGCCAGAGGTCTTGAACTTCGCAGGACAGCACAGGCTTCTGTATCTGTTCCCTGTGGGGTAAGGTGGAGAAGCAAGGACTCTTGTCTGTTGGCATATTCCACACCAAGGAGACTGGCTGGGTATAAATGGAGTAAGCCCATCACCAGTGGCTCATACCTGGAATCTTAGCTACTCAGGAGGCTAAGTTCTGAAGATCAAGGTTTCAAAGCCATCTCAAGTAGAAAAATCCAAGAGACTCTTAGGTCCAATTAACCAGCAAAAAGCTAGAAGGGGAGATGTGGCCAACTATGAACCCAAAAGCTAACCAAGAGCTAGAAGGTCCTGAGTTCAAGGACACACACACACACACACACACACACACACACACACACAAGCAAATGCTCTTTGACGCAACATGCAGCAGGTGCATACCTGAGTGAACTATTCCAAACTTCCGCTCTGCAAAGTAAGCCTCAAGGCCCAGGAGAACCCCCAGCCTACCTGTGGACACAGTGAGAGCCGCTGAGAGCCGCTGTTCTGAATTCCTGCCGCTAACTTGCTTATTTAAACAGGAAAGCATGTGTGTTTTCAGCTATGAGTGAACCATTTCCGATGACTCTGCCCTTTGCCTGGTTGTAGCGCAGCCCAGGACTAGGAGGATGCAACTCTGGGCACTCCCAACTGGCCCTGCCTTCAGCCAGGGGAATCTGTGGGAAATCTTTCCCCGCACAGCTCAACCAAACTAGGCATGGTAACACCGCCATGTTCAAATCCCCAAACACACAAAGCCAAGCCACACAGAGTCACACAGCCACATCTGCAGCTGGTAGCAGGGTGGGGGGCTGGGGGTAGAGGGAGGAGGGGTCCAGACACTTCTCCCAAATCTAACAAGGTAACAGCATCTCACACCCCCACCAGCCCCACAGCAGATGGCTAGAGAGAGACGATTCAACCAATTCTTCCCATCAGATGCTGAACTCTTGAGGCAGACAGGGGGAGGGTCCAATGACACAGAAGTGGTACCAAGTGCTTTCAAGTCATTTTCCATCTTGCAGTCACACAGCTAGCTAGTGATAGAGCAAAGGGACAACCAACCCCTGATCCTGCGCTCCTCCGGGTTACCACCCCACCCCAACCCACAGCTCCAGACAACGAGAGGCTCAGAGAGACTCAGCAATTTGCTGAATTCATACAGCCACTGAGAGGTGGATCAGAGTCCAAAGCCCAGTCCAAGCCCAGTCCAAGCCCAGTCCAGGTCCCAGTAGCTCACACCTGTAATCCTAGCCACTCAGGAGGCTGAGATTTGAGGATCAAGTTTCAAAGCCAACCTGGGTAGAAAAGTCCATGAGACCCTTATCTCCAATTAACTACCAACAAAAACAAAAACAAAACCCCCCAGGACATGGAGCTGTGGCTCAAGTTGTAGAGCTCTAGCTTTGAGTAACAAAGCAAAGGGGCAGCACTCAGGCCCTGAGTTGGACCCCAGGACTGGCACCAAATAAGTAAATAAGTAAATAAATAATAAATGACTGACTCAATGCTCTTTGGGCCATAGAAAGATGGTTCTCAGGGCTCCTGAGAATAGCACAGCCCCGGCCTCCTCAGGAAAGCTACCTCATTGCCACGTTGCTGCCGTCGATCACTATGGGCCGCAGGGAACTGGCCAGGTCGCCATCATCCTCTTCCAGTGCTCGCTGGGCAGAGTCCAGGGCCCCACAGGAGCCCCTGGGAACCAGCAGGGGCCCCGTGCTGCTGAGTAGACCCTCCTGGGTCCCCGGGCGGCTACCTGTGTGGATCAGCTCCTGCAGCACGTCGTTGACCAGGGCTCCGTCACCCAGCTTGCCCAGCACCCTGACCACGTCCTCACGGCTGTAACCCAGCTTCTGGAAGAACTCCATCTTGCGCTCCATAGTATGTGGTATGTATGGGTTCTGTCCCCAGCTTCTTCCTGGCGAAGCCCACGGACATGTGCTTTAAAAGAAAAGATAAGAAAAGCATTCATCAGACATCTTCTAAGCAGCCCAGCAGCCACGGTGACAGAGGGCAACTGTGTGCCCATGCCTCCCTCCCAGCTCTGTCAGGAAATAATCACGTTAACCCTGCTCCCCTCCGGGATTTTCCGCTGCTCAGCGTGGCCACGGAGCCTGCAGCAGCTTCCATCAGGCTGAGTGTGGCAGATCATTCTCTCAGGCCCTTCCCTCTGAGCCCACCAGAGCCCAGTGCAGGGGCTGAGCAGGTCTCTCTGCGCCTACAATAGGCCAAGGACATTTCTAAGTCTCTGTAGGGAGCTAATGGTGTCTACCCAAATTCCTATGCTGATGCCCTTAGTGCCAGAAGCTCACAATGCCACCCTATTTGGAGACAGGGCCTTTAAAATGAGGCCATTCGAGTGAGCCCTCATCCAGTGACTAGAATCCTTGTGAGAACAGGAGATGTGGACACAGACACCCACGAAGGAAGGGCCCGGGAAGATGCTGGAGGATGGTGGCTACCTACAAGCCCAGGAGAGCGGCCGCCAAAGCAACCAACCCTGCCCACATCTTTTTGTTGTTGTCGGTTATGAGGCTTGAACTCAAGGCCTCAGCACTGGCCCTGAGGTTTTGTGCTCAAGGCTAGCACTCTACCACTTTGAGCCACACAGCTCCACTTCTGGTTTGGGGTGGTTAATTGGAGAGAAGAGATAAGAGTCTCATGGACTTTCCTGCTCAGGCTGGCTTCAAACCATGATCTCAGCCTCCTGAGTAGCTAGGATTACAGGTGTGAGCCACCAGCGCCCAGCCCTGCTGACATCTTGATCCACAACTTCAGACCTCCAGAACCCTGACATAGTGGATTTCATAGTGCCAACACCTAGCCTGCAATATTTGTTCAGGAAGCCCTGGTAGATAATATGGGCTCCTGGCTTACACAGGGAAAATGGGCCTTAAGTTCCTTCCTTGGCCCATTCATGGTGGCCACCACCACCGACACACCTCTCCGCTCTGGAAGAAAGGGAGAGAAAAGAAGATGAAGACAGTAACAGACTTTAGGAACATGAAAGCTTATATCTGGTGGACTTTGTGGTTGCCTATCACTTTCACACAAAATCTCTTCCTTCAAGCTCTAGTGGCTCCCGGTGGGAGGAGAGAGACAAGGGTTCTCCTTTGATGAGAGAGGAAACTGAGGCACGGAGAAGGGAAGAGTAGAGATGACAAGTGGTAGAGGCTGGTAATTAGTAGGTCCCACAAATAATTTGTCATTTGTAAGCTGCTCAGAATAGAAGCAACGTCTTGTTCTTCCAGAAATGGAAAACAAAAGAAGCAACTAGGTGACTTCTCTTTGGTCACCAAAGAACAGCTGTGAGGTGAGTCTAGGCTTATTTTGTAACTCTGCATTCAGGTGTGACAGAACAGAAACATTTCTGAAATGAAGGAAGACGTGGGTGTTTGGCAGGGATGGGCGGGCAGCGCGGCTGCTTCTCAGAGGTGACTTGCGTGGGGCAGGACAGCTGTTTTGTACAGAGGGCGAAAGTAGCAGAATTTTCCTAATTCAGAATCTTTTTTTTTTTCTCCTTTAGAACTTTAAAATCAACTTTGAGCTGGATGGGGTGGTTCATGCCTATAACCCCCAAGGCAAAGATCAAGAGGATTGCAGTTTAAGACCAGCCTGGACAGAAAAGTTAGCAAGAGCCTTCAACAAACAGGTCAGGTATAGTGACTTGTCCCCTGTAAAGTCTCATACTGGACTAGGTTTAAAAGTATGAGACCATCTCTGAAAAATAACTCAAGTAAAAAAGGATTGGGGGTGTGGCCTAGCATCTGCAAGCCCTGAATTCAAACCCCAGAATCATCAGTAAATAAAGAAAATCAACTTTGCTCTCTTTAGAACAAACTTCTCCCAAATAAAGAAAGAGGAAGCTGTGAGGAGCCTTCCTGGCCCCTGCATGCCAACGCTCCCCGGAATGGGATGGCTCTTGAACAGCGACTCCCCAGCTGCTTGCTTTGCTTTTCTATTTTTAAAACCTGAGAGTCTGAACAACTTCATCTCAGGGTTCTTCCTCAATCTTGACTGGAAGTCACAAGCAGCAAAGATTAGTAATAAAAATCTGCAAAGAGGCCTCATGAGCTCATGTGATGGTCAGCACCCCAACTCTGTACCCTTGGGCTACTAGTCATGGTGACAGTCCCATGGGAAGACTTTCTGGTAGAGTTCAAAGTCAGAGACCAAGGCCAGGTGCCAGTGGCTCACACCTACCACTTTAGCTACTCAGGAAGCTGACATCAAGTCCTAGAGACTCTGATCTCCTCTAACCTCCCAAAAAAGCTGGAAATGGCTTGCGCGCGCACACACACACACACACACACACACACACACACACACACACACACACACACACACACACACACACACACACACACACACACACACACACACACACACACACACACGAGTCAGAGCCCCACTTAACAGACAGAAGCCAAGAAGGGGAAGAAGAGGGTTAGACAAGGGAATTGCATGAGATGGATTTTTCTGGAATCAGCCCCAGCCCCAAGTTGAAGACCCCAAAAGTCTAGAAAGTTCTGACTGGAAGATCTGAGGAAATATGAAAGTGAAGGAAGGGAAGAGAGGGATAAGAAACAGAGGGCCGTGGCCATGTAGTAGGTTCACCAGCCCAGAAATTCAGAGACAAGGCGCTTCCTATGATACTGTCTCTGGATACTCAACTGCCCCGCAAAGTGGAAACTCGCCCTCCTGCCTCATGCTGCACCATCTGTGAGAACAATGAAGACAAGAAAAGTTTTCATGACTTACCCAGGGTCCCAGAGCTGCTCAACAGAAGAGGCCCCAAGAACCACGCTGCCTCTGGCCCAGGCCGGAGGGCGCCTCCTAGTGACAGACTGCCCAAAGGCCTCACAACAGGCCCCAACGTGCTGATCGCCTTGTCCCTGCCCCAGCCCCTGTCCCCAGGGCTGCTCTGGGTACCAGGTGCCCACTCCACAGAAATGCACACGAGGGACTTCCACTGGGAGTGGACACCATAAGGAGAAAGGACTCCTGACTGTGGCTCACCCAGTGTCAACCGAAAGTTCCCCTTACATCTCCAGACACCCCCCCTCCCCGCCTTGAAACCAGCTGTCCTGTCTGCTTGATTTGTTGTTGTTGTTGTTTTCAGTTACATGTAAAGTAACGAAGAGACAAAGATTTCAGTCTATAAGATTGGCTTTTAACAAAATTAAATGGGGGTAAAATATAGAACAACGTATTTTGAGTTTGAATCACTTTCAATGTACAGTTCCACGGTGTCCGAATGTTCACCTCTAACTCAGACCTGTGAAAGTCTATATCCATTGATACCACCCCCCACCGCGTCTGATCTCAGGTTCTGGAACCATCTTTCTACAGTCTCTAGGAATTCTTTTGTGTGTGTGTGCCAGCCCACAGGGCTTGAACTCGGGGCCTCATGCTCTCTATTGGCTTCTTCACTCAAGGCTGCCTGGCATTCTACCACTTGAGCCACAGATCCTCTTCTGGCTTTTTGCTGGTTATTTGGATTCTCTTGGATTTCTCTGCCTGAGCTGGCTTGGAACTACGATTCTCAGATCTCAGCCTCCTGAATAGCTAGGATTATAAGTGTGAGCCACAGCGTGTGGCCTGATCTCCCTTTTGATCACATATGAGTGGAATCATACAGTGTTTGCCCTTTAGTCATGACTTACTTACTTGGCATCATGTCTCAAGATTCATCTATGTTGTAGCAGGTATTAGGCGTTCCTTCTTCACACGGCTGAATAATACTCCCCTAGGTATATACTCCACACAGTATAAGTATCTAAGTGCCCAGTGGGCACTTGGGTTGTTTCTACCTTGTGGCTACTGTGACAAGTGCTATTAAGAACATGGCCTTTTGCCAGGCGCCGGTGGCTCACGCCTGTAATCCTAGCTACTCAGGAGGCTGAGATCTGAGGATCACGGTTCAAAGCCAGCACAGGCAGGAAAGTCTGTGACACTCTTATCTCCAATAAACCACCAGAAAAACAGAAGTGGCACTGTAGCTCAAGTGGTAGAGCGTTAGCCTTGAGCTAAAGAGCTGAGGGACAGCGCTCAGGCCCAGAGTTCAAGCCCCACAACAGACAAAAAAAAAAAGAACATGGCCTTTTGTTTTCTTCGCACACAGGTCCTCTGGTCTTTTCATCGCTGCTGTGGGTTACTTAGGGTCACTAGGGGTCACATGATATTACCCTCTGGATAATGCATATCCCAGAATGACTCTACTGTACATTCTGACCTACCTATACCTACCCAGTATTGGCACTCCAAGATGGCATCATCTGGCCTTGAGAAAATCCACAATCTGGGGTGTGGGGAGCAAAGCTGAGGTTTTGTTTTATGACAGCAGGGAATTGCCCCAAATTATCTTTACCACAATCAGATTAAGAGGTAGCTCGCTTTCTCCTGCATTCTACTCAGCGCCTGTGGAGCCATCAGAGGAGATGAGGTGAGGGGCCACTGTCCAACACTCCTGCTCTGCGTTCAGGCAAGGAACAGAGACCCCGCCAGACTAACACGGAGACCCGCGGTCACCTTTGTGAGCACAGAAATGGGGTAAAATGAATTCTACTCCATGGCCTTGAAGTAACTGTAAAGACAGTAGCCAGAGGTTTGGCTTAAATGGAAGAGTTTTCTGTCCCTGACCCCAACCAAATCCTGACTAAAATAATGATCAAATAAAGATGGCACCCAAAAAATAAATTAAAGACTGCTTCCCTTATTTGTGTAGTTGGAACTCTTCAGATAATTCCAAGTTTGAGAAGTCAGTTAGTCCAGGAAAACATTCCCTCCAGGACTGCTCTCTAATCTGCCCACCTCCCTCCCTCCCCCTCCCCCCCCCAGGGTCTGCTGCTTCCCAGCCCACCCCAGGGCTGAAGTCTGCAGTCCTGCCATGTTGACTGATGGCTGATTGCCAGCACTCACCAGCAGGGAGTCTTCAATGGATGCCTGCTTCTGGCAGACGTCCTCCTGCCAGTCAGGGCCTGGGCCCCTGGGGGGTGGGAGTGAGTTGACAGGGGAGGCTCAAGTGAGGGGAGGCCGGCCAGCCCGGCCACACTCCTGTGAGAAGCCACTTGCTGTACAGAGTCACGTTTGGTTATAAAGGTAGCTGGGCTTTGAGTTAAAAATAAAAGGAAAGGAAGCAAGCCACCAGCCTAAGGCCAGGAGGAGACAGGGGCATGAGTCACCGAATCAAAGTTCAGCAACCACAGGCACGGTGAACGCTCCTGACAGGTCGGTGTGGGCTCCTTGAGATGTGCAACCTAAGTCCGAGAGAAAAGCAGGCTGAGACCTGCTCTTCCGATTCCTGCCTGCAGCTGGGAAGGACATCGGGCTAAACAGTTAGATTACCACAGCGCCAGCACCAGGACACCAATTATGGCATCATGGGGGATTTGCCAATAAAATCTGACATTTGTCTGCTATCTACAGTATCTATTTGAGAGGTTACATCAAAATGTCCTGAGGGAGGCTGAAGGATGGGTTTAAATGAGCCCACCTGGCAAGTTCAAGGTCCTGAGTTCACGTCTCTATTGGTGCTTGCAAAGAAAAAAAAAAGTCATGAGCCAAAAGGTCCCAAAGGATAATTAGTCCCATGATACAGGAGAACATAATTATCCTTTGATAAGTGATGAGGTCACTGGGTTGACATAGGGAGACTAATCAGTAGCTAATCTAGCCAAGATGGAAACCCAAAACAATGAACCAAGCACGAACTCTCGAGAAAGCATATCGCTTTCAAGGGAAATATTTTTCTGGTATGGAATGCGGTTGTTGAGTTGTTGCATCACGTTACATTAGTCTTCGGTTCTGGTCCCACAGAAGATAACAAGCAGGGGTCCCCAAATGCCCATTTGTCTCTGGCAGCCTTACCAGAAAGTATAACCGTATACTTCATCTCAGGTGGGTGTTTCCATGAGGAAGCAAGCCAACATCATCCAGGAACCATGCTGTCTAATTACATAAGCCACAGACTTAGAGAGGCACACAGCTATAGGCTTCACGAATGATGTCTTGCAAATGTGAAATGACTGAGCCATTAAGTTCTCTAAGTGTAGCATTGGAACCAGTCAAAGAAATCCTCTGAAGGACTGCCAGGCACCTCAGGCTGGGTACTTAATAAAAAATGAGCATGGACACCGGGAACCGTGGCTCACACCTATAATCCTAGCTACTCAGGAGGCTGAGATTTGAGGATTGCGGTTCAAAGCCAGCCTGGGCAGGAAAGTCCGTGAGACTCTTTTTTTCTTTCTTTTTTTTTTTACTTAATAAGTCTTTTTATTAGAAAATGGAATGAAGAGCAATGGATAGTCATGCATGTTATAACATCTTTCTTTTTAATTTTTTTTGTGTGCGTACATACTGTACAGAGGGGTTACAATTACATGGGCAGGATAATGCGTACATTTCTTATCCAGCATTGCAGCCTCCTCCTTTGTTTACCCTTCACATCCCTTCCCAGCCTCCCCCCAGTCTGTGAGACTCTTATCTCCAATAAACCACCAGAAAACTGGAAGTGGTGCTGTCGCTCAAGTGGTAGAGGTCTTGCTTGAGCTGAAGAGCTGAGAGACAGCGCCCAGGCCCAGAGTTCAAGCCCCACCAAAAAAAAGATGAACATGGGCAAGAAATCTAAGAATCCTGATTTATGCTCAGAGTCAATAGCACCTCTTCCCAGGGCCATAGGGCATAAGGGCCAAGGGCAAAGCACTAAGTTGTTTCTCCAAAAAAAAAAAATGGTGGAAGGGAATGGGTGGTATTCTCCAAAAAGATGTATTTTCACCTGACTTACGTAATTTTTTTTTAAACTTTTTTTTTTTTTTTGGGTCCAGTAGTGGGGCCTGAACTCTGGGCCTGGGCGCTGTCCTTCAGCTTTTCAGCTCAAGGCTAGCACTCTACCACTTGAGCCACAGCGCCACTTCCGGCTTTTTTCTTTTTGCTTATGTGGTGCTGAGGAATCGAACCCAGGGCCTCAGGCATGCAAGGCAAGTGCTCTACCACTGAGCCACTTTCCCAGCCCTGACTTACGTAATTATAATGCCTCTGTACATCATCTTTATAATAATAGAAAAAATGTAATTTAAAAAATGGGCACAAATAGCTCTTGCCTGTAATCCTAGCTTCTCAAGAGGCTGCGGTTTGAGGATCCCAGTTTGAAGCCAGCACAGGCAAGAGATGAGACTCTTCAACTAACTGGCAAAAAAAAAAAAAAGAAGGAAGTAGATGTGTGGTTCAAGTGGTAGAGAGTAAGCCTTGAGCTGAAAAAGCCAAGAGATGGCACCTAGATACTGAGTTCAAGGCCCAGTACTTGGCACAAATAAAACAAAGAAAGTGGGGTGTGCTTAACTATCAGTCTAGAATATATATCAGGGAGACCCCAAAAATTCGGTGTCTTAATTTCTAGAAACCTCATTTAGAATAGAAAATATGTTACACTCTTGAGTCCATTAAGGAAAGGGTCACCACCACCGGGTCCCTTCACAGTAGGAGATTCAGAGAAAGCTCCCATGGGTTTCGGTCTCAGGAAATGGCTCTACTGGCAATGCTGGAGGTGCCTGCCACTCCCTAGAACAAGAAGTAAGGTCTGCAGGGGAAGCAGCTTTAATCACAGTATCACAGACCCTGCCGAGGCTCGGCCTGGGAGAGACCAAGGCATGGCAGAAACTCACACAGGCCTGCGTTCCATTCACAGTGCGCGCGTGCACACACACAAAGATGACAAGAAAGATGATGCCCAGTTCCACCCACCCCACCCTCACCCCACCCAGGACCCTGGGAGTCCTGAGGTGGCTCCAAGCCTGCTCACCCACTTGCCCTTCCACCTATGCAAACTTGATGCTAGATCTACAGTCCTAAGGTCATTTCTGCCAACTCTGATTCTTGTGGTGGGACAGAGTGCCTTCAGGAAGTGGCCTGGACATGCCCAGACAGGCACAAAACCTCACCACAGAGGAAGCACAGACAGAGCACACGCCATAGTGGAGGCCTGGATGCCAGGGATGGTCCAGAAGCCTCTCCTGGTCCACCTGCCTCTTGCTGCCTACAGCATCAGTGACCTCCCCAGTGTGCTATGTCTCCTCCCTGAGCTAAAACAGCAAAATGAGAGTTGTTTGCAGTGCAGTAGCACTACCTACTACGGCTTGGCCCCCACGGGATCCGTCAGCGGTGGTGGCAGTCCCCCTTTCCCTATGGTCGTCCATTGTGCATCCAGCCAAAGTGATATACACGAAAGGATCTCACAAGCACTAACTCATCTCCCCGGCTGCTAGCAAACTGGAGGGTCTTTCTGAGCAGCTGCAGCAATGTCTCTACACTTCCCCCTCTTTTCCTTCCGCTGCCTATTTTCCTGTTGGGTAGCCTCTTCCTTTTTGATCTGGATTAGCTTGTATATGATCGCTATACGAAGCCCTTATCATTTTGTACAAGCCATAAATTTAGTACTCGCTCACAATCTAACACCCTAGGTTGAGGTCTGTTAGTAACGTTTGGGGCCCTACAAACATTTTACTTTTGTGTAATCTCCTTAATAATTTTCTTGCTTAAGAAATCCTTAAAAGATGAATGAATTCAGTATTTTAGGCGAAGTGGTCCAGGACTCTAGGACTTTCCAGAGAGAGTGAAATCTAGGCATAGACTCAGAAGCACAAGGAAACATGACTTGAAGGGCCCTGTGATGGGCTTAAGGAGAAAGAACTGCGCTAAGGAAAGATTTTTTTTCTTTTTTTGATCATCTTCACTTGATCCAGTGTGGTGATGATCCTGCATACAATTACAAGGTACCTTTCTCAACTGCCCTGTGTCCATTCCTTCCTTCCTTGGAAATAGCTCAGTGATTCCATCACCTGACAAGTCCAACACCCTTCTCAGTTATAACCAGTGCCCTCCCCACCCACATGCCCTCTTCCCCTTTGGCCCTCTTCAGTCCTGGGCTTTAACTGGACCATCACCTTACGCTTCTTTGGTGTCCTGTTTTTGTTTTGTTTTGGGGTGTGTGTGCTGGCACTGGGGCTTGAATTCAGGGCCTAGACACCGTCCTTTAGCTTTTTTGCTCAAGGCTAGCACCCTAGCACTTGTGCCATAACTCCATTTTGGTTTTTTTTTTTTTTTTTTGTGGTTTTTGTGTGTGTGGGTTTTTTGGCTGATTAATTTGACGTAAGAATTTCATGGACTTTCCTGCCAGGGCTGACTCTCAGATCTCAGCCTCCTGAGTAGCTGGGATTATAAATGCTCAGCCCATCCTGCATATTATTGCAAGACTCTCAGGCACCTGGCTGGATTCAAATCCCAAGCTCTCCCCACCAGATCAAGCAAACAAGAGTAAAACACAACTGTCCCTTGTTCAGGAAGCAGAGTTCACTGTGGTCTCATTCCAGAGATACAGCAAAGCAGGCAGCACTTTCCTAACTTCTTTTTCTATCCAAACTGCCCCGCTAGTGTGTCTGCACAGAGATGTAGTCTTTCATGAATCTGCTTCCCACTGCCCTTGACAAAGTAAATAGCAGCACACCAAGCATCACTCAAACATGGACCCATCAGCCATCCAGTGAGCAACAAATGGAAGAAGAGAAGAAATATAGCATTAATCCAGAGAAGTGCCCTTATCAATAGTCCATGTGGATAACAAAGGTAAGACTCAAGAAGGCACCATGAGCAAGACTGGGTCTTTGAAAAGAGATAGTCTTGAAAATGAAGGGGATCTCCACATTCTCATTTAACAACAGGAAGCAAAAGCTTCTCAAATTTTCCCATCAAAACAAGGTTTCATAGCAACAGCGACTGAAAGGTAAGGCTTCTGTGATTTCGGTTTTATGCTCTTATGCCCTCTTGGTGACTCAACCTAGATGGGGGAGAAATGTCAAACGAGACTACATGTTTTTATGATGTGTGGAAAAACACAAAGTATACCAGCCAGTAACGAAAAAACATTCATTAAAAAAAATCTCAGAGTAGGATTGCTGACCCTGTAACCTATGCAGTTTCTATTAACCTATTTATAAAGAACCAGGGGCTGGAGGTATGGTTCAAGCAGTGGACAGTCTACCTAGAAGTGTGAGACCCTGAGTTCACT